CCAATCAACCTCTTTGTTGAAGTAAAGATAAAAGTTTTTGACAGCAAATGCTATTCTGATAAAATGGAATTTTCAATTACTCTATGAACATCTGGTCCATGCTACAATTTCTGGAGCCCAGCAGCACACTGCTTTGCAATGTCACAAAATACTCTCCATTGAGAACTCCCTATTTTGCCAAAAGACTAACTGAAATGAATGTTTGGAAATTTAGGGAGGTGAGAGGTGAGTCAGGGGGATAGGTAGAGGATAAGCAAAGGATGTTCAGTCACTAAATCATAATTTCATCAAAAGGCTAGAGGAAATAAAATTACACATTGCTGGTAGAGTGTTGGAAGTGTAAACGTCTTAATACACCTGTGATTGAAACTAGACTATGCATAGTGTGAAACTTACAGAACATTTTCATGGCTAATTTGTAATAGCAGTTGAATTAGGCACAGATCAAGTTCTTTCAATCCATATTTTACACAACAAACCTGTTAAATGATATTCAGGTGATGAACTACCAAATAAACAAGTTTAGTAAAATGCAGAACTATTTATACTTCCAGAAATAAAGCAATCATTACACTGCATTTGGATGCATTTAGATATGAAAGCAGATAGATGTTATTGTGAGTTTCTGTATGTTGCTTCCATTTGGTATCAATTAGCATGGGAGGCAAACCGATTCAGTGTTGTAGTGAACTCCAAACTAGGTCCACATTAGAGCAATTAGAGTCATCTTTTCAGCTGATGAATTTATAATCAATAATTAAAATCATAAAGTAAGAGACACTGAATATGATTTGAAACAAATTAGTTGAGCTTGGGACTAGTATGTATAGTTCTAGGACATGATTCCCAAAAGGACTACATATTTAAGTAAACATAATGGTATATCCAAGTAATCACAAATGGTCATGCAAAGAAGCATGGAAGAGACAGAAGCCTATTAACCTCAGCACCACTCAACCCAGAAATAACTCTGAAAGGAAGAGATTCAAACCCAGTGATATCCCTAATTGTGCAACAAACCCATGAACCTCTGGCACCTCTGACCTCTGTAATGGTCAGTTACTCTTCTTGGAGACTGTCTGCTGCAATTGCATAAGGCAAAATTCTTGGCTTTGCCAGAAGTTGGTAATTTTACCAAATAAGTCAAAATCAGGAAGTGAAGGCATTGGTTAAAAGATTTGAGTGTGACTCCCAAGCTCAGTGTCAAACCACCTCAAGACCTAAATCAGGTGGTAAAATATCCTGAATGACAACACTTACTTGTTCTCAAGGCACTCTGAGAGCTACAGAGAGATAGCATTCCAAAAAGTGCTATATGTGAGTAGAAAGTATAGGATAAAGAATTCTCCATCACCTTCTTTTCTGGGAAGCCATGACAATAAGAGCTGAATTACTGGGGACAAGCTGAGACATAATTAATCCAAAGGCACTCAGATGATAAATGAATTTGTAATTAAGTCACCTGGCAACAAGGAAATTCAGCTCAGCCAACCAAGTGACCTGGTCTTGGGCAAGTTGAGAGTGATACCAGGATTGATGATAATCTGGAAAGCAGAGATTCCTGTCATTAATTTTCATCTCCACCCTGACTCAGCTCATGGATGTATTAGGTTGGGGCAGTCAAAACACAATCCAAACTCAAGTGGCTAAACCCCTGGCTTTGCCCTTCAGGTGCAAAAGCTTTCCAGACATTCTCCTTCTTTGGTCGAATATACTGATTCTGGGTTCCATCCCTAGAGGACTGTTCTCAGAGATGGGTTGCTGAATATTAAGGGATTTGGGCTTTTACTCAGAAAGTCATGAAGTACCTTTGACATTCACAACTAAGCATTCTGCTATAGCAGTTATAAGAACAAAACCCAAAGAAACTTTGGCAGTGTGAAGCAGCACAGGGCCCAGGTGTCTGGGAAAGTGGGGAGCAAATACAATTTGTACCTTTTTCCTCAAACGCTGGCAACACAATATTAGCTCACGAACAATCCATTCCTGCTCAAGGAAAAAATTAACAGATGCATAAAATTATCTCTATTTTGAAAATCCTGACACTCCCTATCAATCATGGGTCCCTATACATGCAAAGAAAAATGCTGTGCTAATAACCAAATTAGAAAACACAGAAAACTACAGACATGAAATCCAAGATGAAGCCAAAACAAAGGTGTAAGGTACACTCTATTGGGTATATTTGGCCCAATTTTGGAGTGATTCTGACAGAACCAGAAGAAATATTATCAGGATCAGAGTTAGTTGGACAAGGTGTTTAAAACCCTTATTCTTCTCCAGAGACATCTACTCAAACCTCAAGAACTGCTCAGCACTGGAACCACCAGGATTTTAGAGCACTTGGGTTTGAGATACCCATCACAGTATCAATGAACCAAAGAGACCTGAGACTATTTTTCCCCCCCTCAGGGAATCTTTGAGACTTTCAGTGCAGGTCTGAGTCCAGAGATGATTCCATTTTTCCTCATGACCTTTCTAAATTGGTAGTCCCAAGAAGCAGCAGTACCATATTGCCCTGGAGTTAATATACCTAGAACTATTCTAGTTAGAATGGTTACAAGATCAGGCATACATGGTAAGTTCACTCAGTGATTGTCTTTCAACTACTCTTCCTCAGGATAAAATGAAAAATATTATGTGAATCCAGGTTTGAGTTGGTAAAATCTTATAAAATGTTAATTGTTGAAATTGTTGCTGTTGTTTGAGGTAGCAATAACTGAGGTGACACAATTATGTGCGCAGCCTAGAGTTGATTTGGGATATAACAATTAAATACTATTATGGAAACTCACAAGCACTGAGAACTCACTAGGTAGAGCCTGAGGTGTAAGCAAGACTGGAATTCCAACTGTACCTAAAGTTTAATGACTCAACCAAATCGAAGAAAGCAAACTCAAGGGTTGGCTTAAGATCTAGCCACTGCTGGGTGCCTGGGTGGCTCAGTTGGTTGAGTGGCTGCGTTTGGCTTGGGTCATGATCCCGGTGTCCTGGGATCGAGCCCCGCATCGGGCTCCCCCTGCTCTACAGGGAGCCTGCTTCTCCCTCTGCCTCTGCCTGCCACTCCCCCTGCTTGTGTTCTCTCTCTCTCTCTCTCTGTAAAATAAATAAAATCTTAAAAAAAAAAAGATCCAGCCACCGCTGGAATGATGGGGAAAAAATTAAGATATATACATGCAAACTGAATATTGAGAAAAAATATGAAAGTGTTGCCAAAATGGAACAGCAAAAAGTGTCTGTGTGTACATGCATGTGTGTGTAATCATCATCTTATATGTAGGAGAGTCTTGGAATAATGCCACACATTTGCTTTAGAATACTCTCATTATTATACAATCTACACTATATATATATACACAATACATCCCATTTGTAAGAAACACTCCCTCAGAAAAATTAAGCATAGTCCACTGATACTGTTTTCCTAGAAAAAATGTGACAAAAAATTAAAACAGCATTGTTCTAGCCAGGTATAAAGTGAGAATCAATTATGACCATTTCCTTTCCTGGATCACTTCATTTTAAAAAGCATCTAACTAAAACGCTTTCTGATATAAATAAAAAAGCACTTTTGGGAGATACAAGGCTAGTAAACGATACATACCAGTCTGTACCCCGTGACACACTACTAATCCTTTGAGAATTAAACAGTCTCTGTTTCAGTTATATAAATGTTTAGTTTTCTCATCTTTAGTCTCAGTAAGGTTGCCCAGAAAGTATATTATCTCTGTGGATGTCACCACTTGCCAATTAGGGAAGACAGCAGTGCACAATCAGTAGTGACCTCTATATATTATAGACTTTGACACTTGAGTCAGCTGGGGAGGGGATGGATTAGACGGTTTAACAGAATCTATAGATAAACTTTATTTCTATGAAAAACATTTCTTTTTTTGAATTGTGCAATTTTTTCCTTTGGATTCATTTATAAGACCAAAACAAAAGCATTTAATGATGTTTACAGTGAAATGAAAGAGCTGAAGACCAGCACATAATCACCATATTTTGTTTTCTCATCTTTAAGTCTTCTAGCAGTGGGGCTTCCAGCTGAGCTTGCGTCTAGCTTCTCTCAAGACATAGCCAAGCATTCTGAAGCTTCACTGAGCCTAAACACCAAGCTGAATTCATAGTTCTTAATTGAAAAAGACAGGCTGTTTTCCTAGCATGTTTGCATCAGTAAAACACTGAAAATGACATTTGTGCCCAAGTCCATCTGAACATTCTGCCTTAGCTTAACTCTGCTAATGTTTTTATACCCTGGTTTATGCCTAGCATGGTTTTAAATAGCTCCTCTTGTTAAAGCATGTGTGGCTGCATTCACAAAAATAGACTCTTCCTCATATATGTGAATGTCACTCTTGAGATTTGCTTTGAGGTGTTTTTCGTATGCACAGAATGTTACTTGGAGTCAGCCATATTTTCTTAAGATAGTCTCTCCTATGACCAATGGCAGGCATGTGTTTGGTAGCTAGAGGAATTTGGCATAGACAAAATGGGAAGTTTGGTACTTTCCCTCTTCAGTAAAGGGTATACAATCTGTGCCCAGAGAACAGAGTCTCTCTCTGGGTAAAGTTAACAAGGCTGATATGGAAATAAAACCCACCCCTTTGGTCTCATTAGTGCTATGTTCTGTGCAACTCGACTGATCAGTTAAATTTCATGTACTAAAGCAAAAAGAGGCATTTATTCCTGGTGAGAAGGCATCTGCTCGTTTTCTATGTGCTCAGTGCAGTTACTATTGAAGAGAATGTATGCAATATGTATATGTAGGCAGCTTTTAAAATGCCTGAACTTTATACAAACCTAGGGGATCCACTCAGGGAAAATAAAGAATCTGGTCCAGTGTCAGGACATCTCACAACTCTGTAGATACTATTCAGGCATGAGCACAGTGCACACCTTGACAACAAACTCATTACAGTAAAGTAGTACAATGTATCTACAAACATTCTGGGCTCTTTAGGATCTATGGTTGCAACTTACATCCAAACTGCCCTTACCATGGTCAGGCATCTGAGATCCCATGGAGGTCACACTGGTGTTCAGCACGTCATTGACAGCAGTATCACAATACAGGCTCCGCTGGACATCATGTTCACTGTCAGTCTGGTCACTCTCTTCATGGCCACTATCCTTCAGGCTGTTGCCCTCTAAGTCCTTGAAAGTAGAGCTGCTGGGTTGAAGAAAGAATGATAACTTACAACTGTGATAATCTGATTTTTAAAATCTTTGAGAGCTAGGATGATATCAGCTCTGCTGTGAGGCCAACAGTGACTGGATTGTCCAAAAGAGTAGAAAGAAGAGGAATTTCTGTTTAAAGGTAATGGAACTTGGGACACCTGGGTGGCTCAGTTGGTTGATTGTCCAACTTGTGATTTCGGCTCAGGTCATGATCTCACTGGTTGTGAGATCGAGCCCTGTGTCATGTCGGGCTCCCTCTGCCTCTGCCTCTCTCACTCTCTCTCAAATAAATAAATAAGTAAATCTTAAAAAAATAAAGATAATGGAACTTAACACTGTAGAGAGGCTCCCACTATTGGATGCTGATGTAGCTAACACTTTCATTCACTTATCTTCAATGCATTACTACAGGCAAGGTGGAAAAAGGTACACATCTGAAACAACCACCTGCAAAGAATATCACCATTTCAGAAGCTTTTCTTTCTTATATAATCAAAATAAAATAATAGCTAATGTTTACTGAGCAATTACTAGACATAAGGCACTATTCTAAGTGCTTGACATGAATTAACTTTTTTTAATCATCACAACTATGTAAGAGAAAAGTACCATTAATACTCCCATTTACAGATGAAAAAACAGAAGCACACGGAAGTTAAATAACTTGCCCAAGGTCATACAGCTGATGAAAATGTAGCAAATCTAAGACCAACCCAGGCAGTCTAGCTCCAGAGCCTGGATCCTTAACCACTATGTATACTGCTTCTCCAAAAATGTCTACTAATCAACTGCAAAAACTGAAGTGGCAGAAATTGAGGTAATGCAATTAAGACAGAAGGGATTATCAGGATCAGAGAACTCAGGTAAGTTTTAACTGAGAAAGTCAGAGAGACAAAGAAAATGTGGAGAGGCACAAGCTGAGAAGCGGAGCCTTGGTGCATGCACAGTAAGATAAAAGTGAGAACCAGAGAGTGAGCTCTAATAAAACTGGGTTTTATGCTAAGAATATGAAAACCTTCAGCTGAGGAGTTTATGGGCCTATTTTTCTTGCATTTGTTAAATCAATCCACCATTCAATGCACTAAACATAGTATCCAAGAACCTCACACAAAAATAGAGAATAACACATAAGGTACATCCACAGAGGCCCCACCTGCTATTTCTAATACTTTGTATGTCCTGACAGAATCTGCAGATGTGCAACACTATGGACCATAAATTATGAATCTGAAATAAATAGTGAATGGTGAATCCATTTCCCAATCAGTGAGGAAGCAGCAAAGGCAAACTCAAGAAAATGTATTGTTGTCTCAACAACAGAGAGTGTCATGCTTGTGAATTAGGACAAGTCCCAACAGACCTACTGTACCTCTGAAAATGGAGCCTGGGGAGATGACAGTGAAAACTCATTTGATGTGCTCAACCTTGAACATCCACAGGCCTGGCTCTCTCAGGCTTTGATAACATTCAGTACATATGATGAAGAGCTATGCCATGGACACAATAGATACATTGTCATTCTCTACATTGGTCAAAAGGAATCACTGCAGATTTTTAACATATGACCAATCTAGATGTAGAATGCTTGCTGCTCTGAATATGAAAAGGAAAAGATCAAAAGGGCGGTAACTGGAAAGCCATAATTATAAGAAAATGAAGAGCAGGAGAGAGTAAAGCATTGACCTGTTTGCTAATTATTTTCAGAAAGGATCACTGAGCATCACCTGTATTAAAACTAAAATCATTCAATAAGCCAACTCACTCAGCTCCTCCAAATTATGTCATGCAGCTACTCAGCCCTGTGGACCCACCAGCATGCAGTTCTATTAAAAAACCAATCATCCTAAAATTCTTTTATGGTCAAGAAGACCAATTGGAAACACAGGCTTTAGAGTGTGTAGCCATTTCTAGCTTTATGGCACAGATGTTGGGGCGTCCTGTAAATACTAATGCCATAGATTGAACAGATCCAAAGTTTTTCTTTTAGAAAAAAAATTTTTGGTCCTGCCTACATGGACTCCTGCATCTCAGAAGAAAGGAAATGACCTGCCCAGTTCATATATTTTTAAAACAAAATAAATTTTTTGACCTGCATTTCTGGTACCTGGAGCACATGAAAATTTCTTTAATCTACAGCACAAAATTTTTGCTTTAAGCCAGAGACTTCAACCCTGAAATGAGTGCATTTCAGCAGTTGCCAAAATATGCTTGAGACATACATTGAGCAGGAATATAAAGACAACACAATTTACCATCCCTTAGACCAAGGTTTCTCAACCTTGGCACTATTGATATTTTGGGCTGCATAATTTTTTGTTGTCAGAGGCCATCCTACACATTGTAGAATGTTTAGCAGCATCCCTGGCCTCTACCCATTAGATGCTAGTAGTGCTTCTCCCAGAAGTTATAACCAAAAAGGTTTCCCTCCATACATTGCCAAATCACCCCCAGTTGAAAACCACTGCTTTAGGTTCTTTAAAACTCTATTCCTGCAGCATGATAGATTTCCAGACTGTAGTGGAAAGAGCACTGTCATTAGAACAAGTGACAATCCGTACTGTGCCACTTCATCAATGGGACCCTGAACCTGGTATCTAATGTCTTTGAGCCTCAATTTCCTTGTCTGTAAAATGCATTTGCTAAAACCTTCTTCACAAGGCCATTTTGAGGACTCAATGAGAGTACATGAAGTACTGGGTAGACACAAATGGTCAATAAATGGTTATTGTTTAATATGATCATTAATCTATACAGTAATGTCTTCATTGAGTTATAATTAAATATTATGTCTGTGGTCTTTTTATAGGATTGATACAAGAAATCTGTATTTAAATCATGTTTTTCTACCTTCCATAAACTATAGTCAGACACTGTCCACTATGTTAATTTCTCCTAGAATTCAGGAATAGGAAAAGAAATTCTCCTGTCAAATGTGTGTCCTTCCTTTATTGAAAAATTAGAACTATATACCCTGGTGTACTTACCATTTTGTCTTGGCTTCTCAAAAGCTTCATGATAAATATAATATTTAATTGCTGTGATTTGGATGCCAAGGATCACAATTTATCTTCATCCAATTGGTTTAGATCTGCTTTTTTAAAGTTTGATCACCCGTTTTATATGCATCAGAATATTACAAGCCATCTCAGAGATTTTGTTTTTTAGGTAGAAATGAGAGAAATAAAATAGTGAAGGACTGGGCTACTTGGGACTGATAGTGTGAGTATAAAAAGTCAGGTATTCTTGGCTAAAATCAAAAACACAAGAAATATCAAGTGTTGGTGAGGATATGGAGAAAAAGGAAACCTCATGCACTGTTGATAGGAAGGCAAACTGGTGTAGCCACTGTGGAAAATAGTATGGAGCTTCCTTAAAAAATTAAAAATAGAACTAACCTACCATCCAGTAATCCCATTCCTGGGTATTTACCCCCAAAATACAAAAACACTAATTTGGAAGGCTATATGCACCCCTATGTTTATTGCAGCATTATTTATTATAGCCAAATTATGGAAGCAGCCTAAGCATCCATCAGTAGATGAATGGATAAAGAAGAGGTGGTATATATGTAGGTGTATATATATAATGGAATGAATATATATATATATATATATATATATATATATATATATATATATAATGGAATATTATTCAGCCACAAAAAGAATGAAATCTTGCCACTTGACACCTTCAACAACATGAACATGGATGGAGCTAGAAAGTATAATGCTAAGTGAAATAGTTCAGTCAGAGAAAGATGAACACCATATGATTTCACTCACATGTGGAATTTAAGAAACAAAAGAAAAAGAGAGAGAGGGAGAGAGAGTCAAACCAAGAAAAGGACTCTTAGCTACAGAAAACAATCTGACAGTGAGTTACCAGAGGGGAGGTAGGTGGGGGAATGGGTGAAACAGGTGATGGGGATTAAGAATACACAACGGAGAGTGTCATGATGAGCACTGAGTGACAAACAGAATTGCTGAATCACTATATTGTACACCTGAAACTAATATCACACTGTATGTTAATTATACTGGAATTAAAATTAAAAACTTCATAAAGGGCACCTGGGTGGCTCAGTCAGTTAAGTGTCTGCCTTCAGCTCAGGTCATGATCCTGGAGTCCGAGGATCAGGTCCCATATCAGGCTCCCTGCTCAGTGGAGAGTCTGCTTCTCCCCCTGCCTCTGCTCCTTCCCCTGCTCATTCTCTTTCTCTGCCTCTCTCTGCCTCTCTCTCGCTCTCAAATAAATAAAATCTTTTAATAAAAAAATAAAAAATAAATAAAAACTTCATAAAAATTTTTTAAGACTCCAAAAATGATAGTCATGTATCCTCTGAAAAAAAAATGCAAGGGGTCTAACGCCCTTCCCCCAAACCCTAGAATAGTTAACCCACTTAAAGATCAGTTTGCCCATCTGATGAACTAAGTACCACTTACTCTAATCTTGTGAGGACATTTAGTGGCTTAATGAAGGGATTTGAGTAAGGCACTTTAAGACCCAGTGAGCAAGATGCTGCAAATTGTAAAACAGCCTGGTAAATGGCTATTCACCCAAAACAAATAACAATTTATGCCAGGCATAAAAAATGCTGACTTCACTTGCTTTATTACCTGTGTACCTCTTGGGAGATGAAAGACTTGTAAACCAACTTTTGTGGGACAATAAATTAGGGGTACCCATTTGCAATGGTATTGTAAATGCAAATGTTTCTATTACTGCGCTGGTGGCCAACAAAGGGACAGATTTGTTTGAAAACAACCAGAGCAAGACTCTGAACATAAGAGTTACTCAGAAAATGCTTCATGAATAAACATTATTCACATTCTGCCCCATATTTACCCTTTAAAATATTGGAAATCTTTCCAAAAGACAGAATAATCTGAAAGGAAACAAGTCATGTCTTCCTAGGAGGTGACACCACATGCCCAAGGAATGCCATCTAAGAGTAAGAATGAGAAGGGAGTAAAAGTGAAGGGTATTGTAACTCTATTTAGAGAATATAAAGATGATTCTTCAGTGGTTCCTGGATCTCCTACCTGCATCACAATCACCTTGGGAACCTATGAAAACTGGAGATTCTCTAGGGATGGAGCTAAAGACACCTCCTAGGTGATTCTAATGCACATCAAAGGTCAGAAATTGCTGGTTTACAGGGAAATTTAGTACTCGTTCTCATTGGGAAAATGCTGAGATTTTCTTCAACTTCTTTCATCCATTCATTCAATAAACATGTAACAGCACTTGTTATAGACAAGGCATGATACCAGGGGCGCAAAACCCTAGAACAATTTGGGTGGAAAAGGAAAGCACTATGTATACTTTAGGAGCCAATGTTCATTTTCCTTTCCACACCGCTTTGCTATCTTGTTCATTTCCTGCTTTATTTTCTTTGTGCTCCAGCCTCATGCCCTGCTTGTTATTGCTCCAAAAGCACTGCAGGAGTAGGTAACAGACAGCAGCACAGAAACCAAGCATGAGGAAAGAGAGTGTTGCAGCAGGGGCAAAGTGCAACTGCCGGCTTTTCTTGCCCTGAAAAGATACCAAGGAAACAAACAGAGCAGGAAGGAAACACATCCAGAAAAAATTCTGAACCATCTTGGCTTGTTAATCTGGAATCCTGACATAAGCCTTGGGTACACCTGCAGGTTGCAGGTGATGCTCTGAAAACAAACAAACAAAAACACAGAAATATAACACCAGAGTCCGTGGTGCAAAGATTATGTGCCATCTCTCTTCCCTTTCCCTTCCAGATCCACTCTTTACCCTTCTCAACCTTGATTCGTGCTTAGGGGAACCCCTTTGCTCTTTGTCTTTCCGTTGGTTTACCCGAGGTAAATAGATGCGAGAGAGAAAAACAAGCCTGTGTGTAAATTGTCTGGACAAGACAGTTAACAACTGCTGGAGAATGCCAAAAAGAAGGGTCCAAGAAGCATCTTTGGATAAGTAGGAAGTGAAGAGAGAAAAAGAAAATTGATAGGAAAAGAAGTTCTCAAGATTCTCCTGAAATTGGATTCAAAGCGAGAGGACTTGAGGGACGCCTGGGTGGCTCAGTCAGTTAAGCGTCTGCCTTTGGCTCAGGTCATGAACTCAGGGTCCTGAGATTCAGCCCCCCCACTTCCCTTCTCTTCCGGCTCCCTGCTGAGCAGGGAGTCTGCTTCTCCCTCTGCCCCTCCCCCTGCTTGTTCTTGCTCTCTCTCTGAGATAAATAAAATCTTTAAAAAAAACAAAGAAACAGGACTTGATAGTAAAATTAAAACTGATAACAAGATTCAGAGTTTCCTGGCTGGGAGATTTTTCCATGCATGTAAATGGATCCTCAAGAAACCACATACAGTGAAAACCCTTTCAAACATAACTGTGAGCTATTTGAACACAGTTTGCAGGGTTTTTATCACCTGGTGTTACCACTCTCTCTTAACATTTTCCACATATTTTACATTTAAAATAGTCAGTCCCCAGAAAAGCATAGCACACAAGATTTCCTGTATCTTTCCAGGTATTGTGCTTTGTCTAAACTCAATGGATCCCATAAATTCCAAGGCCTTTGTGGTTTTCCAAAGCCCTCAAGGTTCCAAAAACAGAACCTGGCAAAAATGCATGTGTCCCTGAGGTTTCAGATGTTTCCTCTTAATCAAAGTGGACCCTGGTAAAAAGTCACTATTTTTGGTTTCAGGCAAGATCAGGAGACTTTTCCACTGAAAGCCTATTAAGTCCAGGTTGTGCATTTTGTGTGTAAACAAAAACACATAAAGTAATCAAAATCAGAGGTTTCTAGAGAGTCCCAAAGCTGCTGTGGAAATTCCCCAAAACGAAATGTTTGAACATTAAGTTTTCATCTCATCACTCTGCCTATGCATTGTATATTCGGGGCTGACCTAATACAAGGAGGGTCCCCAGGAGAAGGCTTACTGCCATGCTATGAAAATCGGGTTCTTGTTATCAGTTTAAACTGGTCATAGAATTCCCAAGTACCCAGAGCTAGCCCAAGGAACCTGTGAAGATAAGTCAAGACATGGTTTTTACCAGAAGGTTTGGAGTAACAGTCCTACAGCAGAAAATAAAGCAGATTTCTGCTGCAAAGTTACTCTAATCAGTGCACATAAAGAGGGGTCATTTTCCTACTAAAACAAATCAGTCAGATAATTTTGAATTCCTTACCTTTTGAGTTTATTCTGTGAGCTAAGAAAATATTCAAAATGGATTCCTCCCAACTCCTCAAAAAAAAAAAAAAAATTCCAAACTGAGCTATGACCGGTAATGCTGGGCTATTCATTTTAATGAACGATAATTAACGATCATCACTTAAGTTCACAAGCAATTCCAGACCAATATAGATAAACCTAGCATGTTTTCAGGGGTTACTGCAGCATCATGAATTAAATTAAACATGAATTAAAGTGGTTTGTTTGACAAGCCAGTTTATTCTTCAAATCCTACTCATCTGGCAATGTAAATTTATGGGATTAGAGCCAGCAAAATAATAGAATTTTCACATCTTCTCTACTGTAGCTCTAACACACCCTGCTTGCCTCTCTATTTTATTTATATTATTTTAACAAACACACTCAGAGTTCAATTTTAGGTGCAGAATAACCACTGGATCATTCAAGAGGATATTTGCATGAAGCAGTAACAAAGGCATCATCTGAATAGTCAGTACTGGTTTTTCAGCACAATAGTTTTCCATTTTGTTTAGTTCTCCCTCCTTAGAGGGCTCCCTGAACCTTGGTGCCCCACCAGATGGAATCTTCCTTGGCAGTACTCAGCTCTGTATTCTGTAGCTCCATGGATAACTGAGTTATGACCAACCAACCACTCAAATCTTAATTTTGAATGCCACATTTGAAATATTTCCAAATATTTTAAGAAGCACTGAATCATGCAAAGATTCTTTTCCTCTCTCATCTACAAAATTTTTCAAAGATAAGAAATTAGTTAATCTACCATTAACATAGCTTTAAAATGATTCCAAAGTTGACAAAACAACAGCAATCTTGAAATTCATTGGAAGTTCCACATGAGAAATTGTTTAAGGCCTCTCTTCATTTAAAGTGCAGAGCAACAAGGATTTCGATATCAACATGATTTTGAAAGTATCTGTTTTCTAATATTAGATTTCAAGATCATAATATAAAACCATATTTTAATATGACCCCAGTTTTTAATTTGTGTTTATGCATACATTTTGATGTAAAGGAATATGGTAAAATGCCAACAGTGATTATTTTGGCATCGTGGCATTACCAGTGATTTTTATTTTTTTATGTTTTTCTGAATTTTTCAAATCTCTTACAATAAGCAGATAGGCATTCCTTTTAAAATCCAAAAACAAAGGCATCATGGGGCACCTGGGTGGCTCGGTGGGTTAAGCACCCAACTCTTGATTTTGGTTCCGGTCATGGTCTCAGGGTCCTGAGACCCAGCCCCAAGTCAGACACCCTGCTCAGCAGGAAGTCTGCTTGAGAGTCTCTTTCTTTCTCAAATAAAAAAATCTTTAAAAAAAACACAAAGGCATCATTTAAAAGGTTTAATCTGTTTTGCTTTTTATATTAAATGAAGCTTAGTTGTGGAAATAGGCAAGCAAACCAACATACCTTTTGATTAAATGGGCTCGGCTGTTCACATAGTTGGAATCAAAGGAATAGTTTTCAGTCTGCAATGGGAAAAAAAAAATTAAAAAGGTTACATAGATGATTCATGAAAAGAGCCAAACTGTCCTACTTAGAGGGAATTTTTCTGCTGGGCGAGAAGCAATGAATGAATCACAAACCGAAGCCGTAGTGGGGTAACAGCCTGAGGAATGCCTGCCGCTGTGGAGGCAGCCCTCACCTGCAGACCAAGATGAAATTGATATAAACAGCCCCTAGAATACAGATGGCTACTGACCATGCAAGCACTTAGAGGAAGAGCCAGCATGACCCACAATCTTTACAGAAACTAATTGTTTCCCATTCCCAGTGGATATAATTCTGTGCCCATCAAATTGACTGGAAGTTCAAAGGTATTTTTATTAGTAGTAGTTAATTAACATGTTAAAATATTTATTCCATAGATATGGAAATGCAGGCAAGGTAATCCCCTACTGTGGATTTAAACTCTGCACTTCCCTTTGTTTTAAGACATTTTGCTCAGCACTGGTTATGCAGGAAGGCCTTCGTTTTATCACAGATATAAAGGCAAACAAGTATTATGCCTGAAACCGGGTGAAGGGCAGTCCACAGGGGGTGCCAAAGCCTTTCATGTGAAACATGAAGTTTGCAAGCAAACGCTGTCTCAGCTCCTATCATTAAAACACGACTGCCTAATCTGGTTACAGTAGACTGCCTGAGCAACAGCTTTACAAAAGCAAATGCAGAATACCTGCCAGATGAAAGAGATGGGAAAACACCCAAAGGGGGCAGCCTTGGAAGGTGGGAATGCAGGGCAAAGTTGACACCGAAGTAACTGAAAGTCCTAGTAAAATGAATCTTACCCCCAACACTAAAGTACTACTCTCACTGAACCATTATATAATACTGGAAAATGCCTAAATGCATCTCCATCCTCCTGCTTTCCTACCAGACATCCTCACCATGCTCACCATTCCTTGGGGCCTCCTGAAATCACTTCAACTAAAAGTGCCTGAAAAAGGAAACACAATAGCTGTCTAGCTAACAAAACAGCAGATTCCTTTCAGATGACTACCTGTCAGACATTAACTGTGCAGGGCCCTTAGATGCAGCTTTTTGTTTCAACGAACTCAGAGTTTGGTAGAAGAGAAAACAGAATAGGTGATAGCAAATCCAACCCCCACATGAGTACCAAACAGCTAACAGTTAGGGTAGGGACCCTAAGTATCTAGAGTAGGTGGGGAGGGCAGTGGTGAGTAGGTGGGAGAAAGGAGGAGAGAGTATTGTGAAGAAAACTAAATCCCACCATTGTCTTGTACTTACTCAGGCATGCTCATGCCCTCTACATGCTCCTCATTTGAAGATGGGCTCTGTAATATCCACTCACACTGCTTTTATCTAGAGGATAAAATCCCCTTTAATGTAAACCACAAATGATTTTTGGTTCTGTTGGAAGGGATGAATTGGGAGAGCAAAAAATCAAAAGGGTCAGTTCGTTTCTAATTTGTTCATAAGAAAATGGATGCTGAAATTGTTGCAAATATAATTACAGGAAGAAGAGGCAAACTTGAAGCTACATTGGGAATACAATGCTGGAAGTATTGCTGGAACAGGTTATCCATCAGTCAGTCAAGCAACAAGCATTTCTTGAATTAATTTATTATACCAACATAATAGGCAAAAATTGTGCTGGGTAAGTGTGCTCTTTTATGATATTCAATACAATATATAATTCAACAAGTGGAAGTCTCCACCTGCCAAAAAGCATGCTATCCAATTAAAACAGGAAACTGATTAAGTAACTCAGGAGTTCAATGACTAGTTTCACTGTGCAACCTTGGGTAAATTACCTAATTTCTGCATGCCTCACTGTCTTCCTACATAAAATAGGGACAATAGAACAAGAATCCAAAGGGGAAGTTCAGCTGAATTTATCATGACTCGTGGTGGAAATGGTGGGAATCCTTATCCCCTGCTTTCTACAGAACCTGAAGCACTAGACATGAGGCAGATTTCTAGAACCAATTTTCCCATAGTGGGTGGGACTATGTTGAGTCATCCATTGTCTTTTTGTTTTTGTAATTGGTCTCAGGTCTCTTTGTGAGGCCACTTGATTGGAGTTATGGAAACAACCTATGAAACAGAATTATTCTAATTGATAGCATACACTATTCTGACCCCATTAATACTACAATCCAAACAACTGAGCTAATTGGCCATAGATAGCCTATTATGGGTCCGTGTATATTTGATGTCAAGTGTTCTTGCTCATATTGATTCAAGGTATGTGCTCAAACCCAACTTCTGTGCATTGAAAGGGTACATTTTTTCCACACTTCAGATGAAGCAAAGAATGAGACTCAGACCACCCTGAAGAAAGAAACAATCTTTTTTAATGAATAGCTTGCATGTCTGAAGCCAGTGGTTCTCAGCCCTAATGCACATTAGAATCAACTAGGGAACTTTGGGGTTTTAAAAATACTGTTGGCAAGGTCCCACTCCAAGAGATTCTGTGGTAAGTGGCCTGGAGTGGGGTCCAGGCATTGGTATTTTTTAAAGCTTCCCAGGTACTTCTAATGCATATCCAGAGGAGAGAACTGTCCTAAGCAAAGGACTGACCACAGGCTTTGACCTGATGTGCTGTGTTTTCTAATGCAAGCCCAGCTGTTTAGAGATGGCATCTCTTCTGTCAGATTATTTATCAAAGTCATCTCAACATAGGCTAAAGAACCAGAGCAGAAATACACTTTTTAAAGAAGTAATAAAAGAGCGTCTCTTTTTTTGCATGAAAGTATTGGCTCCTGGTTAGCCTTATTTAATCAAAATTTGCTTGACATTATTCCAATCCCCTCTCTAAGTATTCTAAATGGCAAATAACATGAAACATTTGAGAGGGGAAATTTTCTCTAAATGTCACATTAATTTCACTAGGAAATGTCCCCATCTCTAATGAGACAGCCAAGTTAACACAGGAACACAGTAAAGAGACGAGAAAAACATTTGTTTCTGAAAAAACAAATTTTGACATTAAAAAATGGGTCTAGAGCAAACTTTTATTTTCAGTCTCCATGGAATGCAAAATAAGAGTCACTTTCTTACCATTTAATATATTTCTCCCAAATCCTTTCTTTAATTAGAAGTGTTTATCCTAGGAACTCATTGAGAACAGACTTCTCACTTGGCTTAGGTTTAATAGCACCTTGATTTTCTGAAAACCTAAAGAATAAGTGCTTCTGTATAGCTGAGATTTTTAGATAGCTTAGGGCTTTCCTCTGCAAGGACTAAAACTTTGACTTAAAATCCTAATCATTCTGCCTTGTTTCTGAAGGGTATCATACAGTTGTTTATTGGTTACTTAGGAGCACCCTTCTAAACATAAATCACTGTACCACACAGGTTTTGCCGGTATACTCACTGACCCCAAAGTGCTCTGGTTTTTGAGTTCTTGCCTTTAATTTTTAACGTATGTCCTTCACCACCTTGCTATCAAACACTCAGTATTATTACTTCTCAGTGCTATCAATATATCAAAAACAGCTCCTCTTCCATTTCAAGTTTGATCCTTCTACTCTACTGTGTTCTTAGAAACTATATTTGTCTAGAAAACAAGAGTTAAGATCTGGGCAGAGAGTTGAAATATTGTTGTTCTAAGAGGGAAATTACATGATCTTTAATATAGAGACTTTTGTGTAATGTTTTGGTTCTTGTTTTTTGTTTTTTTACCTGCTTTGGAGTCTTCTTTGATTACTACTTCCTATCCTGAGCTCCTCCTTTCTGGATATACGAGGTTTCCAGCAAGACTTCTGGGTGGGTAGTATGATATTATGTCTCTATGTTAATAAGTCTGGCACATCACAATTCAAATTCTTCCATTTTGTCAGGCCCCCAAGGTACCAGAATGTCCTACTTTAATTGTCATTTTGCATTACTTTTACAGTTCACTGAATTTTACCCTAGTCTGGAAGAGTGACTGTGACTCTCTCAGCACCACATTTATCACCAGGAAAGATTTCAACCCAAAGGAAAAAGAAACCAATAAATGCAGCTCTCCAAGACTGGAATCTTTGCCCAGTAGCACAAATCCCCAGGTCACTACACAAAGCTAAAAAAGGTTGCAGACACTGAGATTAGAACAGAGAATCCTCAAACCTTAAGGTTTTCATTTGAAAATGAATAGCCATTTTAAAATACACTTTAAAAGTCCCATCAAACTGAAAAACATCCTAATTGCAATCTGCTAATTATTTTGTTTTAATTTTTAACTCTTAATCATTTTAGCAATACAAACAGGAAAACTGGAATCACAAATCAGATGCACAGCAAAGTGATTTTAAAATGCTCGTCCTTTTTTTAACTGCTGATGTCTAATAATGATAATTGTACTTATGGATCAATGACGAAAAGGCCTATAACCTTTTCTAAAACCGAATGCTGTTTTAGATGTTCAAATGACATCTCTTCACAAAGGCATTGTTAGGAAATGAATTGACAAATGGCTTTTTCCTACTTCCTATCCCCAACACATAAAAATGAAAATGTAAATTCTATATAAAAATAAAGCCAGCATGCCTCCAGCTAGAATGTATATTCAAAGACTCATCCATCCAGACAGCAGCAGCTGAAGCAGGAATTAGTGAAGATAGAATAAAAGGCACCATCCCTGAAGCTGCCATCACTAGAAAGCTCATATTTACCCTGAACTGGAAAACAAGCCAAGTAAGCTCCCAGTAACTATGCCTACACACATCTCAGGCCTAATTCTCATTCATTCTCTCTCTCTCTATCCTCCCCTTCCCTCCCTATGTCCCCTCCCCTTCCTCTCTCTCTCTCTCTCTCACATGCACAGTCACAAACATCCATTTTGACTACAGTGAGCAATATGGTATAGTGGGATAACCTGAATTCCCTCCCCATGTTTGTCACTGACTAAATGATGGCCTTGAATAAATCACCGTATCCCTCTTTAAGCCTTAATTTATCTATCTATAAAATGAAGAGAATAACCCAAATGATGTCAGTGTTCCCTTTAAGCTCCAAAAATTCT